AGTCAGTTAAATACCTTTTCACATATAAACAAGTACGCTGTGCTTCATGAATACTGTGGGAGCTGATCCCTGCTGAGGAGAAAGTTGGATGCCTTTTCTTTAAACAGAAGTTAAATTTCCCATTATCCTTGATACTCTCACCCAGATTGTTGTTGTTGTATGCCTTCAAGTTTTCTTTTCCTAAGGCCCCTTCTACACAGCTGAATGAAGTCCCGCATTATCTGCTCTGAACTGGGATATATGGCAGTGTGGACTCAGATATTCCAGTTCAAAGCAGATATTGTGCATTATTCTACCTTGATATTCTGGGTTATATGACTGAGTGGAAGGACTCTAAGTCCCCTTTCACACAGCTGAATAAAATCCCACATTATCTGCTTTGAACTGGGATATATGGTAGTGTGGATTCAGATAACCCAGTTCAAAGTAGATATTGTGAGATATTATGCCTTGATATTCCAGGTTATAAGGCTGTGTGGAAGAGCCATAAGACAAACCTATCCCAGGGTTTTCTTGACAAGATTGCTTCTGAGATGGGGTTTGTTTGTCCCTTTCTTTGAAACTGAGAGGGGGTCTCGTCCAATTGGTTTTCCAGGCATTTGAACTCTGGTTTTACAGAGTCCTAATGCAACACTCAAGCCACTACATTTTTGGTCCAATTATCCAATGCAGTGAAGAAGCAGAGAAGTCATAGAATCATACATTTAGAAGAAACCACAATGATTATTTGATCCAAGAGTGAACAAAGTGTACCCTGTGGACTACATGCATTCAGTGGAGCCATTACTTGGCCTGCAGTGTTCCCAGGAGTCAACAATATACATATTGGGAACTGGGGGAAGTAAAAACAAAAATCTAGCTCTGGAATTTCCTCAAATGTACTCCAGGGATTCATGTAGGCCCCTTTCACCATGTATGGAGAACTCATGTCATTTGTTGTGTTTTTTTTGTCCCGAAATGACCATTAGAAAGACATGGGGTGCTTTCTCCACCACATTTTGCTCCTCTTCTCAGGGCCAATTGAAACCTATGGAAGCCTTATTTGCAACCCAAAGCATTGTGGATGTTTAGCAGCAATGTTTTGAGGACAAGAGCTAATATGGCCCCTTTGCCTTCCACAATTCCCTACCCCCAATCTAGTATGTACATGAATATTTAAATAGATCCCCCACCACAAAAAAATGAGAGCGCATCATGCTCTGAGGAAGTATATGAACTCTTGACAGTAATGAAGTTCTTCCAAAGCTCTGGAGTAGGGCAAATGGAAGGGCGTTTGGTGCTGCTTCACACGATTCAGAACCAAATTGGATACAGATCATTGCTATGACCTTTCAGTCACAGCACACTTCGAGACCAGTGAAGAAAGCCGTGATCAAGACTCTAAGTGAGCCCCATGTGAGCACCCCCCTGAAGCCTTGCTCCTTTTCAATTAGACTGAGACAAAAACTGCAGCGTCAGCTGTGCCTTTGTTGTACACAGTGGCTCGCTCTTCACTGTTGGCACAAAGAGGGGTCCAGCAGAGCCAGACCTTGTACTGAAAAAAAGCATCACTCAATAGAGACACTTAAAAAGCCTCTTTTCAAAGGTACTGGAACTGCTGCTCGGCACAAAGCGGGGGGAGCAAGAAAGAAAAACTTCCACAAACAGTGCATGACCTGCAAATTCAATGCATAACCCATCATTGAAGTTCTGCAAATCTATCATTTCTAGATGATTCTCACACTCCCAGTTGTACTGCATAGAATTGGAGGAAGTACAGAAAACATGCAAAATTAGGACGTCATGGGGAAGGGAAATGCCAGAGAAATGAATGCTATGTAGAGAAGCTTTTGCGGTGCTGCAGGGTTCAGTCCTGGGCCCAGTACTGTTCAACTTCTTTATTAATGACTGCGATGAAGGTTTAGAGGCCATACTTATGAATCTCCTTCAGGGTTGAGAGGGGCAACTAAAATAGTCAAAGATCTGGAGACCATGCCCTATGAGGAGCGTCCTAAAGAACTGGGTATGTTTATCCTGCAGAAGAGAAGGTTGAGAGGAAACATGATCACCATGTATAAATATGTGAAAGGATGTCATAAGGAGGAGGGAGAAAGCTTCTTTTCTGCTGCCCTGGAAATTAGGACTCGGAACAATAGGTTCATATTACAGGAAAGGAGATTCCACCTGAACATTAGCAAGAACTTCCTGACTATAAAAGCTGTTCAGCAGTGGAACTCTGCCTCAGAGTATGGTGAAAGCTCCTTCCTTGGATGCTTTTAAACAGAGGTTGGGTGGCCATCTGCCAAGGATACTTTCATTGTGCTTTTCCTGCATGGCAGGGGGTTGGATTAGATGGCCCATGTGTTTCTTCCAACTCTATTATTCTATGATTCTATGATTCTAGACGTGTGCTAAGAGATACTACTGGGTATATAGTATTTTAAACATTGTTGGTACTTGAATGCTAAGGGCTAGAAAATCTAATCCATGCCCATCATGAATAGCAATGTCAGCAACTTCAGAGTAAACTTTAGGTTAAGCTGATCTCAAAATGGAGACAAAGTTAACAAGCCCTCTAATGCTCCCCCAATTGTCTATCCTTCTTGGCTGGATGGAAGAATCTCTAATGAACTTCAGAGCTTTCCACCACACAAATGAAAGCAAATAAGAATGAAGCTACTCCAATAATTTGCATTATACCAACTGGTTATGAAACAAGGTGGTGAGGAAAGGAGTCCAATATCTGCGAAGAACAAGCCTCCTTTCACCCCTGCACAATTCCCCATGACTCTCCCAATGCACCTTAAACATGTTTCTGGGGATCCTATGGAGACAGGGAAAGGAGTCTGGGGAGAAAAGCTGGATAGGGGGCCCAAAACATACAGTTGGCCCTCAGCATCTGCGGGCTCCCTATTTGTGGATGTATCCAACTATGGATTCAAAAGACATTGTACAATACACAGCACAAGTAGTGAATTAACTAGACTCAAGGCTGGAAAGAGGCTGAGGGTCTGTGAAATAGCAGGAATCCAAACATAGTATTCAGCACTAATCCATTCCTCTTGCCATTTCATAGATCCTCAAACTATCTCCAGCTTCATATCTTGTTAGTTAGGCATTCTATATAATAGGACTTGATCATCCTCAGAGTCCTGGAACGTATCTACCACAGATACAGTGGATCAAACGTATACCCATAGATAAGATGGCTATTTCACTTTACAACATTTTTCTTCAGTCCAAACAGAATGCTAGAACCATTTATTCCAAAGTGGGCATGAATGGGCACAATTTTCCGGAGCTTTCATGTTGGCTAAAAAATATCACCCCCAAATATTTCCGCAAGAGTAGCTTTGGGAAGTTCGCTCATCTTCATCATATTTTATGCATTTAAAGAGCTAAATGAAGTAAGATTTATGTAATGGGTCTTGATACTAGATGGACATGACCCATGCTCTACATGGCTGTGAATTTGCCAACAGCTATTTATTTATCTGAATCATTTCTGCCCCATCTTTCATTCAAATGTAGGCAACCCACAAGTATTGAAAAAAGCAATGATATCATATGTGCAATGAAATCAAACAATAGACAGAAATGCATCACAAGCCCATCAAATAAAAATGAAATAAGGTATAATCAAAGTGATATAATGGTACTAGTGAAGAGTTCTGTAATTCTTTGTGTATACATATGTATGCACATTTCTATCTGAAAATAAATTGGCTTAAAAAGACATCACCTTATCTTTTCAAGTAGTCTTTGCTTTCTATTCAAGTTTTATCTATACGTTCTCTATCATCATCTCAGGAACCACTGTCTTTAACTTGCACAAGATTCATGAGAAAATCCTTCTTCAGTTTTACTATAACATTCTTTTTGCCATTATTGTCATTTTCTCTCTCTTTCTCTCTCTCTCTCATACACACATACAAGCACAAATACAAATATTGGTTTAGATCATGCTAAGAGTGGACCCACTTAAGCTATAACTATTCAAACATCTAATTTGAGTACCCTGACTAAATTCAGGTCCATCATTTTGGAAACATCAAGGAAGGAAACTAGGAATACGGATGTACACCATGAACTCTGCTCTTGTGAACACAGCCATCTAGCAGTACAAAACACTTTAAGACAGTGGTTCTCAACCTGTTGGTCCCTAGGTGTTTTGGTCTACAGCTCCCAGAAAGCCCAGTCCGTTTACCAGGTGTTAGGATTTCTGGGAGTTGAAGGCCAAAACATCTGGGAACACGCAGGTTGAGAACCACTGCTTTAAAATAAGCCACACCGCTCAAGGTAGTGTGAGAAGGACTTCATGGACAGGACAGAAACAACCATATACAAAGCTGTTCCCATCATCTTACCCAATGAGCTACTTTATCACAGAATGTTATGTTTTACACATCTCCAGCTGTGAATTTGTTCTGAGATGAAAGCTGTGTTTCTTTAAAAAGAAAAGAATTCTACATGACTCCAAAAGCAGGATCTCAGTTAACTGATTAATTGAATTCCCTCCCCATTAAATGTTTTCATTTATCAAGAGTCGACAACATATCCTTCAAGGAAAACAGAATTTGCTGCCATTAGCAATGTTGTGACCCTGCACCTTAGTCACAACCCAAAGCTTCAAAGAAAGATAACCCAAAAGCATTGGATTGCAAATCAAATTACCACACACAAAATCTGTCCAGATAGTTCCCAAATGAAGGATTAACAACAACAAAGAGACAACCCAAATAAATACAATGAAATCAATACCAATATTTGACTTTTGACTGGGTATCAGTTCTGCAATGAGACCTGCACCATAGAATTGTAATTCCCTTCCCGTGACTAGTTGAGAGATGTGAATCATGCCACTGTCCAGATGATATTGAATGAATTATATTATTGCTTTCCATTTGCCTTGGTTAGAAAGGGCTGCTATGACCTGTAGTCCAGTAATATTTGGAGGGATGCATGATTTCCTCCCTTAGCACAACTAGGAAAAGGGACTCGGGACACAACTGCATCCTTACCATCATCATTCTCATTAAATGCTGGTGCCTTGCTCGAGGTGTTTGCGCCCATGTTGGATCTCGCTGGAAGATCTGCACTTACACCATCCTTTATTGTAGCCAGTTATGGGCTAAGTTATTAACTCACTCAGACTTCAAAGATCGTGAACACTCCTGCCCATGGACCCTGGAGAATTAAAGAAAGGTAGTTCAGTTCAATGGCAGCCAACAGATAAGGGAAGCTCACAAATATATCACATCTTGACAACTGTTAATATGATATAGGAGGTAGAAAAGAGCCACTTATGGATACATAGAAGTAATGCTGACACACATTTCTGCCAATGTGGCTGCCTTCTTATTACAGCAGTATATTTTACTCTTTGGCTTGGCTTGCAGCTGTTTATGAAATCTTCCCTCTGTTTGGTACCAAACATAAGGAACAGAGAACATCCCACATTACTATTATTGCCAACATCATCACTGTCAACAGAACTGTTTTATCTACTCTTTGCTGCTTTCAGCTAGGAGCCCCAGTGGCACAATGGGTTAAACTCTTGCGCCAGAAGGATTGACGACCGACAGGTTGCAGGTTCAAATCCAGGGAGGCCATAGATGAGCTCCTTCTGTCAGCTCCAACTCCCCATGCGGGGACATGAGAGAAGCCTCCCACAAGGATGGTAAAACATCAAAACATCCCCTGGGCAACATCCTTGCAGACAGCCAATTCTCTCAAACCAGAAGCAACCTGCAGTTTCTCAAATCGCTTCTGACACGAAAAATAGCTAGGAGTGACCCTGTAGAGAATTAAATAACTTTAAAACTTCATTGTGGTAATAGCATGCAAAAACATGCATTTTATACACAAAGATGCCTCCCCATCTAAACAGTCATCTAAATAATCACTAACTATTTTATGAGATGCTTATGCACAAGCAATGCATAATTAAGATAGATATTTCCCCTATAACAGCTTAATTCACTGGATCTTCTGCAGTCTGCTGTGTAGATTTGTCTGTTAAGGCTTTTGGAAGCAATAACTTCAAGCACCTATGTGTAAACATAATTAATATGGTATCGACCTTGCATATATTGAATGCAAATGAAATGCTTGCTTTAAAATAATAATTTTTTTTCTGGCCTATATATTTCAGTTATGTAAAAGAAATTGCTGAGCCACTCTTGAGGACAGGTTCGACCTCTCCTACTGCCACTTTTATTAAGGAAAAAGAAAAAAAGGAATGACGTGATCCCACATTCAATTACAGCTATAATGTGATGTTTCCAACTGAAAGGAAAAAGAAAACAACTGGAAGTAACCAGTATAAATCTGAAAGCAATATAATATGCAACTAGTTATTTCCAAGCTCTGGTCTCCTCTAGATCACACTTCCACTTGAAAGGTTGATCATGCTGTTTTTTCTGGCAGCCATAACTTAACTCTATTAAGGAAAGATAGAAAAGAAACATGCATGGAATGGAATGTGGTGGATAGTAACATGGGTTTCCTATTACTAACCGCCAGATGCAGCATTAAACCAGTGGTTCTTAACCTGTGGGCCGCAGACTACCAGTGGGCCACAAAACAAAAATCTGGTCTGTGAGCCTCCTTCCTCTTTATTTATTTTAGTTCCACTCCTTTCGTGCTACCTGTCGCCCCTTCCCTGTCACTGACCAGCCTCACTCCCTTCGATAGACCACATCAGCTCTAGATGATTAAATATGGTTGTCTGTGGGCAAGCAGAGGGCGACTACTGGATGGTATATGTTCTGTATCAGAAACTTGAGCTGATGTGGTCTATCCAATGCAATTTTCTGAATCAGCACCCTAAATAACCAAACCAAATCTAAAGTTGACTGATCTGTAACCCTTTTGGTAGTGATGTTGGAGAATGGTCCCTGGTCAAAAAAAGGTTGGGAACCACTGAATTAAACTGTGAAGACACAAGGCTTGTATAGCAAGAAATGTGCATAACTATATCCTGCAAAGTATAATAAAATGGATATATAACTGTAAACACAACCAATATCCATATTGGAGCCAACCATCTCTAAAAGTTCTTGAAGTGACTGGTTTTCTCCATCAGACTGAAGCAGTGATTGACATCAATAAGATTCAAATAAAAAGATAACACTGTTATTATTATGTGTCTTCAAGTAAACTCAAACATACAATGACTTTGTTATAGGATATTCTTAGCAAGATTCAGAAGATGTTTGCCATTGCCTTCCATTGCCTTCCTCTTAGGTTTTCACCCAGTGGGTCCCCGTGGCTGAGTGGTGCTCCAAGAATCCCAGTTCAGCACTCAAGTATGGTTTCACAGTACACACAAATACATTTTAATTTTACACTTAAACTTTAAAGGCCCCTCATTCAGATGAGATGCAGATAAAATATTACAAAACTCTCTCCACATGTATAAAATATCTAGGCCCAAATTCTCTGGCCCAGATTTAACACTTACTTTATTTATTGGCTTTAGACATTTAATACTAACAGTAGTTAACAGCACGGGGAGTTCCCACTGCAACCATGATTTGAAAGCAAGGTTTGAAATAGATTTATAATACTGTACATCATCTAAAGATAAACCTAGTTAACATGGGAGATGGTCACAGCACAGATAAGATCTATTGCAGCAGTTTCAATGTCTTAACTATGATTTAGAGATTTACAGCTGTGTCAAATATTATCAGATATATCTTCGTAGAAAGGAACACATTAATTTCTTCCTGGTTCAATATTAGGGGAAAACTGTTAACAGGAGAAACAGCAGATGCAACAAAATGCTATTATAGCATTTTTCCCTGCCTTTAAAACAATATTTCTAGCCTCATGATTTGAAATTCAATTTGTAGGAGGGTAGCTGTCTGATTCAGTCCCAAGAAAAACCAGACAGTCTGGTGGCACTTTTAAGATTAACCATAACCAAGGTAATTTGGCATAAGATTTGAAGGACTACGGCCTATGCATTTTACCAGTGCCAGGTTTTGTGGTCTTGTGGCTCACTTCATCACCAGTAAAAACCTGGCACCCAGAAAAATGTGTTAGCCTTTAAAATGACACAAGACTCTTTATTGTGTCCAGTCATCTTCATTTGCAGTCAATAAAGTATAAAATCCTCAAATTAAAATACACATTTGATTTTAAAGAAAGCATACAATGCACAGTAAAATGTCTAAAGAGAGGCAGGGCCTTCTCAGTGATGGCCCTCCTGAGCGACATTAGATCAGCCTCTTCCTTCCTAACCTTCAGAAGGAGAGTAAAGACTTGGCTCTGGGAGCAGGCTTTTGGGAAGTAATGTAGTGCAATTACTCTTGAGAACTAATGAAGTACAATAACTTTGAAGTGGAATAACGTGCAGTTGACTAAGGAATGGCCTTAGACTCTGATCCATGGGTGGCGTGTTTTAGCATTGGAATGTATTTTTCATGTTGAATTTCTATAAATTTTAATTCAATATATTTTATGTCAACATTGTATGTTTCTAGGCACTATGTTAGTGCCACTTGTAAGCTGCCATGAGTCCCCCTCGGGGTAGAGAAAGGCGGAATATAAATAAGGTAAATAAATAAATATTGAAAGAAAAAACATTACAGCTATACTATTATAAGTGCTCTAGTAAAATTGCCAAATTTAAAAGTTTAACTAGCTGCTCTGTAAACAATATTTGATCCTTAAAGGAGATTCTGGGTCTGAGAAAGTCTGAATAGTTGGGAATATTAGTTCTTTTTTGGTGTCTTGATAGTGCTCACAATCAAAGCAAATAAGGTAGATTCAACTTCAACATTTTTGAAGGGCCACCACTGATTGTTTTGTGGGATCTTATTGAATCTTTCATCTAATAAATTAGAAGGGCACTGAACCTTGTCACGGTGAGAGGCTTCCCGTATTTGAGAATCGTTAACCCACATAAATTGGGCATTCCTTCTTTACAAGCAAGGCATGGTAGGACCAGTAAATGAGGGGAAGAGGATCTGCATGATCGTTTTTTATGTATTTGAGATGCAATTCTAAAATGCTTTTAGTAAAATTAAAAGATTCAAGTCAAGAGTTTCAGAATAAAAAGGGAAGATCTGATCATGCAACAGAAAGAAAGGGGTTTGGTTATAGGTGTCATGATTTGAGAGGGGTGCTGAAACACTATCCAGGAGGGACAACAATTTTAAAAAAGATCTTCCTGCTTCCTCAGAACATCTAATTTTTTTGCTTTCAGTGGTTCCCAGTGTTGCCTGAGCAGGTCACTTCTCCCTGATGCAAGGTAGCCAGGCTGGCTCTGATAGAATAGGTGGCAAGGAAAGATGGAAGACACTGTGATAAGGAGGAGCACACTTCACTTCTTACCTTCATTATATGTAAGACATGTTTTGGAGTGAGGGAGGCCCCAGATTCTCATACAGCAACTTTCAAACTTTGGAAATAATTTAGAAAACTGCTTTGCATGCTGTCAATTTGTTCTCTGTGGCTGTTAAAGAGATGCAGTATCTTCGGGTATAGTATTATATCAGTTTGAGAACATTTTAACCACCATGGCTCAATGCTATAGAATTCTGGAATTTGCCATAGAAAATTGCACACAGCACCTCAGCTGAGGAAGAGTAAAAGTGGTATTAAATCTGCTATAATTCTGCAGTGTATCTACACCTTTCATCAAATGGAGCCCCTGAGTTTTGTTTTTTTGTCGTGCCAGGAGCAAGTCGCTTCTGGTGTGAGAGAATTGGCCGTCTGCAAGGACGTTGCCCAGGGGACGCCCGGATGATTTGATGTTTTTATCATCCTTGTGGGAGGCTTCTCTCATGTCCCCGCATGAAGAGCTGGAGCTGATAGAGGGAGCTCATCCGCCTCTACCCGGATTCAAACCTGCGACTTGTCGGTCTTCAGTCCTGCCGGCACAGGGGTTTAACCCACTGCTCCGAGCCCCTGGTGGTACAGTGGGTTAAACCCTTGTGCCTGCAGGTCAGCAGTTTGAATCCGGGGAGACTGGGTTGAGCTCCCTCTGTCAGCTCCAGCTCCCCATGCGGGGACATGAAAGAAGCCTCCCACAAGGATGATGAAATTTCAAACAGCCAGGCATCCTTGCAGACAGCCAATTCTCTCATACCAGAAGTAACTTGCAGTTTCGCAAGTCACTCCTGACACGGGGGAAAAAATCAAACAAAAACAAATCAGAGGGACCATCAAATATT